AACCTAATGAACCACTTTTCAATCAATGAGAACTTTAAAAAATCCATAAATTTTTGGAATCGTAAATTGAAGTTTGGTTGCAACAAAATTGATTTAAAATGGTGGTTGCAGCTAGTTGAAAAGAAACCTTGATTAACCCTGGTTTCATGCTATTTGGTACTCGTTAGAAACCTATATTTGTAATCTTGAGGGAACTAATGATCGCTGGCAGATTTGATCACGTGTTAACCAGCTTCATAATTAGAGGCGTTACTACAGAGTTATCTGGGCCGCGACTGATCTCCTGTACAACTGAGATGTATATTCAATTGACTGATCGGTGAGTAGTGAACCCCTCTGATAGAAATGTCAGATATATCAAGTCATTCACAGTACTGGTTAAGTTCGATTGGTTGATTGAACTGACAAATTTTCTTTAGTAATTAAGATTACGATAGAATCAATAGTTCAGTTAGTTTACCAACTTTTACAATATGATGATGGATTCTGAAAAATGCACCAGTGACTAGATGATATTAGGCGGTAAAAGCTGTGACATGGATGAAAAATATCCACTCAAAATGTTACAAAATGTAGGTGAGAGAATAAAAAAGGATGAAAGTCTAAATGTTAGCTAAACGTTAGTTAATGAAATGAAACATGGCCGGTAGGAGTAGAGGATTTTCATAGATTACTAGTATTCGATCATCGGTGTTTTCAAAACACTGCTCGTATATCCTCGGATCACCAAGTAAGTAATGCAGTTATTTGGGAACGGGTAGTAGGTAAGGATGGCAAATCAATTGATGATGTAGTGAAACTCCATCTGTTGAGATGGCTGGGACACGTGTTACGTATGCCCAACCACTGACTGCCCCGACGTGCGATGTTTTATGGTGTAGGAGTATGTTGGAAGAAAGCTAGGGGTGGCCAGATCAAAACACGACACAAATCCCCTGAAGTCGCTGATAAGTGGACTGAAGCATGTTGATAGGTGTGAACTACCTAGTTGGGATCAGCGAGATGATAGCAACCAAATGTTGGAGACCTTGAACGACAAAGCTCAAAATCGTTTGCAATGGCACAGGTGCGTCCACTCTATGTGTTCTCCCGAATTTGAATCTTCTGAATTCTTCATGTCTTTCTTTTTTTTCTCTTTCCGAATTTATTTCACTGGATTATACTCCTTGAATAACATCTTCAAAGCTTAATGTTTCCGATTACTGCTTATACTTTTACTACCTCTACCACTATGGGATTTGAATCAACAACTGCATCTCAGAAACCTTCACTGAACTGGAGCTTTAGTGACTTTTTGAAACGTTAGAATCTGCAAATCAAAAATGTTTGTAGTTTACATTTGTTATTTAAACACAGATTTAATCGCCAGGGTCTCTTTTATTTAATTAATGATTTATAGTTCAAAATTTTCATGAGAGTATGTAGCGAATGTGCTCATTCAAAATGGGCAGGTCAAATTATATTTAACATTTGTGTCAAGCAGTGAAATCTGAGACCTGGGTTTCGTTTTATTAAGTACTTGTCATCTAGATTTAACTCAACTTTGGTGTTGGTATTCCCACTGAAGCTCACATCGTCTATTCATTGCTTCAAATACCAAACCATTAATCAGTAGGTTGCTTGATTACGATGAACACCATTTGTTCAGCAACTGTTGTATTTCATGAATTGTAATCTTGTCAGTTTCGACATTTGTGATATTAAGTAATTAACTGACAAGATTTTCCTAGTATATAGGTTACTTGAATAGATACTTTGATCCTATGATTATTTATGAAAAACATATGGAATCATTCATTCATGAAATGTATATCCCAACAGATCCTGATCAATGTATATATATATATATATATATATATATATATATATATATATATATATATATATATATATATATATATATATATATATATATATATATATATATATATATATATATTATTTGAAGTGACATTATTTATAAACTCTATTCACCGATGGTTTGCTACACAAAATTGTAATTCATTCCATACACAAGGAATAAGGAAAAATGCATCATTATATAGTACAACAATAAACAAATTGTAATATTTATTAGTCATATAAGCATATCATTGTTATTAGTAAGTAGTGTATGAATAACATAAAATGTACTAAGAATATGATATGAATACGTCATTTTTTAATATTTTTGAAATCTGAAACCTTTCACATAAAATATACTTTCAATAATTTATTCACTAATAGTATATCTTGACATTCTATAACAGTTTCGTGTTCATCACTAATTGGCGTTATTGTAGATAATAGTAGGAATAGATGGCATAATGTTAGGTAGTTTCACAATAGTTAAACGTTTCACATAATCATCCACATCACTATTTTGTATAGTATATTTGAAAAGTTCTCTGATTTCTAGTATAAAATAGAAGCTCAAATCACTTGTTATTACTTATGGTTTATTTTTCACACTGAAGATAAACTCTTTCTTTTCTGAAACATTTCATTGTATCTAGTACAATAAGACAAATTAAGTGAATAATATAAAGAATAAAACACAATGATCAGTAACGAACAAATAAGAGTAAAATGTACAGTGTTACTAGAATTGTCTATTAAATCTTTGATTAAATAAGGGTTGTTTAACTGAAGATTCTTTAATGCGACCGAATATATGATACCAGGACGAGACGAACCATTCAGTGTTTCAAAGTTTTCAATGGTGGTCTAGCTTGAATCGACTCATGAATTCAACTATTAAAAAATTAGTACAACCTCCTAAACCCCTATTTAAATATTTTAGTAAATAAATTTTAGTTCAAATGACTTACTATTATTGTATTTATTTATAGTTTAAACTAACTCTCTATGATACGTTTATGATATACCAAGACTTATATATCATATAATGATTAGAATAGTTATAATGGTTAATTCACATGGTATTGTTTTACTTGAATCCTCCCATTGATGTTTTAAAACTGAAATCGATCAGTCTCTTATTGGCATATGTGCATATGCCTCGATATTGCCGGAATTCACAAGGTGTATAAGCAAAGATGGGTAGTGGCTAGCAGTGGAATGCTGGACGTGCGTTTCGTGCTATTTGTGAATGGTGAGCTGGATGTGCCTGCATCTGACAGTTGATGTTGACTGTGGCACTCGAACCCAGTACCGTTCGCTTGAAACGCCATCGCGTTATCCACTCACCTACTGAGTGCTCATAGCCACCTACTTGTGCAATGTGGTCAAGTTTACTTCACTTGATATTGTTTTACTTGAATCCTCCAATTATTGTTTTAGGACTGAAATTAGTCAGTCTTGTTTGAAGCGTTTGAAGCGAACGTTACTGAGTTCGAGTCCCAGAGTGAACATCAACTTTGAGATGCAGGTACATCCAGCTGACGAGTCCCAAACAGGATGAAACGCGCATCCTGGATTTTACTGCTAGCCACTATCCATCTTTGGTTATAATGGTCATTTTTTTTGTTGTTAAATTATAGATATGCATTCTATTGACTAAGATTTATATCTCAATCAAAATGAATTACAATGAAAAGTAATAATGAATTATATGCTCACTAATCAAATAAATCTCTTCAAGTAATTTGTAAATGTCTTTTATTTCAGATTTAAATTGATGTATTGGAATAATTGGTACATCGACTAAATGTTATGTATAAAAATTAGGATCTTTTGAATGGACTATTATGTAATGATTCAAATCCAACAATACATCATTGGCTTTACTAATGTTTTAAAGAATCCACTTTTTTTTCTTCGACATTATAATCAACTGGAAATTTACTGATAACTATATTTGGTTCTGTATTGATTGGTCGTTGAAGATATACTTATTTAATGTTTACTTAATCCTTTAGTATTGATCGAATTCTAGAGATTAAATCATGATTTGATCATTAGTCTAAGTGACTCGATAACGTATACACTATGCTTTTCACGTTAGATAGTCGGAAGTAATTACTAAGGATCTCTGAACTCATGTTTAATGCCAGTTGACACTATTCATCAATTGGAAAACTAATGCGCACTGTCGAATTCAATGATGTAACATTTAGTTTTGTATTATCCTTATAATTTTGTTTAACAACAATGAATCGCTTAAATGAATTTTTGATTGGTAAAATATCACAATAGAAATGAAAAGTTAACACCGGTTAGTGTTAATTATTCTCATTGCACTATCGAAATTTATTAAAGGGACTAATTGTTTTAAATTTATTCAAAATAGTTCATATTATGTGACTATGTACCTGAAGTTTGTGCTGATGATGTTGTTCAGAAGAACGATGAAAGCTCCACGACCAAACCATCCAGCTCAGAGAACAAAACTCTACCAAAATCTTTATTATTTGTCTAGAATATCATGAAACCTGTTATTGTGAAAGTATATTGTTTATGAATGATACACATTCTTAATTGACTTAACTAAAAAAAAATTTTGAATAGGTATTTTACTAAGGCTCTCAATTTTACTGTCGTTTATAAGTCTGCCCATTGATGCAGTAAGAAAATTATTGATAAATATAATGTCTCAATAATTGAGATCATTAGTCAGTTGAAGCTAGACCACCATGGAAAACCTGGAAGCACTGAACAGCTGTTTCGTCCTACTTTGGGACACCTCATCCACGATCCAGCTTCGTGGGATTCGAACCCAAAGCCTACCTGTCTCGCGAGCGAGCGCTTAACTACTAAACCATTGAGTCGACTCATGATCTCAACTATTGAAATTACTACAATCTCCACAAAACCCTTTTTGATTCAAATATAATGTTACCTAGAGAAGAGAAGAGAATCTGTGTGATCGATAAAGTTGATCGAATGATTATTTCACGTTCAAAACTAAAGTTAAAGCATAAAAGGTAACACGATATTGATTAACTGATTAGTTAACAAAATTATTTCTAAGAGAAAATATATTAAAAAGTAATTTTCATTTGTATGTTTTATTTCAATGAAATAACAAAATCAATCTGTTGATAAATTTGATTTTTCAGAGATGGCAAGAATTATTCGATCCTCAAAAAACAGGTATAATTACACTTTCAAAATTTTGTGATGTATTAGGATTGGAACTGGAGACTTTGTAAGTGATTTATGATACATTGTTGATGTTGACTATTATTATTTATGATGAGTTTACTATAGAGTCCAATATTGTATTTGCTTTTTTCGATAATCTATACTAAAATCACTCATCAAGACAATTTAAAAGATGGAACATTTAATGGAGGTTTATTTGTGAAAAAAAATAATCAAATGGGTTAGTATCACAAAGTATACAGTATTTCGCATTTCTATAAGAATAGGTACGAATTACGTGATATTGAGGATTTTATCTAAATCGAGGTTAGAAAGGTTAGATTAGTGATTGTCATTGTAGTAACGCCAATATGTAATAATAATAATGATTAATCCAAACAATATGATAGAAATTACTTAGTCCCCAATAAGTGAAAAGTGGATTATGGAACGATTGGCTTTTCAAATAGTCCGTACAAACCACAGAACTATCGTTTCGAAAGATGTAGCAATCGTTTATACTTGGAGTTAGTTAAACTGTTTCGTCCTAGCACGCCATATACTTTTCAGGGATAGAGCGTGGTTTCTTAGAATCTCATCCTGAGCTCTTAATCTCTAAACCAAGCTACGATGGTTCAAAGTTCCAATGTTTTATCATCATCGTTCAGATTGTTAGAACAATGATTAATTCAATCCAGTCTGATGTGAAAGTAAGACATTAAATCTTATGTGGATCGTGTTTCATTTTATTGTTAACAATTCGAACATATATCTACTGTAAATTACTGTGCAATTACTTATAAATCAATTCATCATTGAAATACCTGATTTCTAGATAAAAGATTAAGAATGTTCAGAATTCAATGTCATTATTATTACTATATTCATTGTTTATTCAGTTAACTGGATGAATCAGCATAGATTTTTCAATAGATTCAGTTAGTTGTTTATCTGTATCTATCTGTATGCACATTATATTTATTCAAAATTCAGTTTTAATTCGGTTTGTTATTGTTTTCTTTATTAAAATGAGGTGAATTCGATAAAGTTTTACTTTTCTTCACATGTTCTACGTTTTGCTTAATACTTGCAATTCATATCACTGAGTTAGTTCATTTGAAGTGCGATAATTTTCGAACGACTTACGTATTAAATAATCGAATTTTAAGATATTCACGTTACTTTTATGACCACTAAAAAGCAGCTTTTTAATAATAATTTTAGACCCATGAGCAGCACGGACTCGAAGTCGAACACAAATGGTATGAACTAGGACGTATGGAGTTTACTAAGACTACGATACCGTTAAATAACCACGTTAGAGCACGATGCTCTATATTTTCAGCTGTAATGAGTTTGAGATATAACCCTACCATTATCAAGCAGCATCGGTGAAAAATGATCCCATTTCCAAACTGATTAGTCTTATAACAAAATTATTGGAAGGTTCACTGAAGAACTAGCTTCGGTATGGATTTCTCAGACTATTAATCCAATGCATTGAACTGTGAATTTCATGAAGTCATGGATTAAGACTGATTGTTTCAACAATGAAGTCAATGACGGTGACGTTGTATGACAAATTAATTTACTTTAAAATGATGACCTATTATATTTAAACTAAATAGTTTAAAATTATCTTGCTCATCACGATTCATGAAATCACTCATTTCTATTCAGTGTATGATGACTGCCGTACACAACAGTGTTTAAAGCTACAATAAAAAATCTATTGATTGCTCCTTGATATTCAGTATTTCTCAAGTTGTCAACTAATCTCTACAAAATGAATTAATCTTCATCAACGAACGACCTAATTAAACAAATCAATAAATTTTGTGAATAAATAATATAAAAAATAAATGATTAAAGTGTATGTTTTAGTTTAAGCAGAAATATTAGTATCTAGTTGATTTATTATTAAAACTATCAAATTTGTCCTTTGATCAATTAGTTTACATTAATATAATCAATTTGTTGACTGAAATCTCATTACATTCATTTTGTTGTATACAGAAAGTTAAGTAATATTCGGTTTAATTTTATATGTTCTGATATGCATTTGAAAACATGTGTTTTTGAAAATAGTTTGACGAAATAGACTGGAAAACGAAACGAATTCGCTTGCGTAGATTTAATAATAATAGTAGTAATATTTCTTTCCTTAGTTCGCTGAACTGATGGAACCTTATCGATTATGTTAAATTAGAATAAGGATTGCATTTCAATGTACTAACATGAGTTATGATGACTTATATCAATTCACATAAGTATCAACTCAAAAGTTGAAAAAGTAAGCCACAATGTGTTATCGGTTTGGAACTTAAGCTGTCCCGAAGAACAGTGTCTATCGGACGTTAGTTTGTTTAACTAATGACCAATTTAAAAAATAATAAATATATTTTTGTTTACTCTGAAGAAGTAGCTTGAATTAAGTCACGAAACGTCAAAAATATATTTATTATTAACTCTCTACTCAATGCTCAATTTATTTCAAACTATCAAGTCCAACATTCGTATTGATATTAATAATTAAAATAAAATTATTCAGAAGGCGACTTCTTAATTTTCATTCATGTGATCCCTAAGTGAACATTTTTTTAGTTCGGACAATTTTATGAATTATAGGATCTATAGTAGATCAGGAAACAATTTTAGTTGAGAAATTATTTTAAATCAGAGAACACTGAACAAATGTATGGTCCTAGTTTATTACTTTTTGATAAATGCTCACACAGGTATGTATTATAAGCGAAATAGAATCCTGTACCTTCGTCTACATTCAATATTATTGTAATCTAACCTGAATCGCTGTAGAATTTTAAAATCAGGGCGATTAAGTTTATAAAAAAAAGCTTCCAGTCACCCATTAAAGCATTAGTTGATCAGTTAACTGATTACATAAAGGTCAGCCACCGCCTACCTTGGCAGGTGATGTTGGCTAGTGTAAAAGTAGGTTAGAACAAAGCTAGGTGTCGTCAGATTAGAAGTTGGTATAAGTTCATACAATCATTAAATATTGAACTGAGGTAGTCAGGTAAGTTCAGACATCTTGGTTAGTTTTTGTGAAATTATCGTAATCAATGGTTAGTTACATTGGATGACATTTCTCAGAATCCATTGTAATGACATACATTCATCCTCTCTTTGTCTTCCTTTATATCTAAATTTTAAAATTATCTAGTGTTTTTTATTTCATTCTTTCTTATTTAATCATATCGTACATATCTAACCTGTTTTTCTGCAACTGATACTATTCCTAATTCTACCATTTTGAGATTTGTCTTGATCATATCAGTTTGAACCGACGAAGATGTAGGTCAGGTTTTAAGGTTCTATCTGATTAACTGATTTAAGACTACGAGAATATGAGAATTAATATTGTTAAATGGCTACGTGATTTATTCTAATATTTGGACATCAGATTCTTACTAATCTTACTATATATGCTACCACCCATATATTTACCCTTGTCAATTGTTAACGTGTAAACTTGAGCATGTTTATACATGTGTATGTTAAAACATGTTTGTCTATCTGTTTCCTGTATTTCTGAAACAACTTCAATAACTGAGTCACTTTATTATTTTCTAAATCGGTGTATTACCGAACTTCAATGCTCCATGCAATCTCTGCATCCTTTATTATTTGTCTACCGTTCATATTAGAATGTCGGAAATATCTGTATCCTAAATACAATTCATGTTAGACTTTTAATGTACCATTGTTCTACACGTGTTAATTCAACAGAACACAAAGCAAACACTATCTATACTTTAGCAAAGACAATATAGATCAATCTATATGGATTCAATCAAACGCTCACTAAAAGAACACCATCGTCAGTAGTTTTTCATGTTTTTTCCAAAGAAAACTATGTTTCATTAAAATCTTTTTTCTGACCCTATTTACAAGTGATGTTTTAATCTGTTATCCGCCTTTCATAGTGTGGGTATTTATTCATATGATCGTTGGAATGCTGGCATATTTTCCCAATTAATTTAAATGTTAGCTATCAGATATAGCCATTTGGTTTCCAGTGCAAAATTCACTTTTCTTTCCTTAGAAAAAGTGACATTTTGTTTGGTTTCAGTCTGAAATAACTAGGACACAAATGAAATAAAGTGGTTTTGCGAGAATTTCGTTACGCTTCAGGAGTACTTTTTATCAGATGAAACGGAAAAAACCAGTCGGCATTGTTTGTTGAACCGAATTTAAATTTCTAGAATATTCGTTTTCCTATTATACTTAAGCCTTTCAGAAAAAGACATCAATCTATGTCATAATAATAATGCACCGTCATGAATTCATTTGTTTGATATAAACTCAACGATCATAGATGAATTGGACTATGATGGTAGATACAGGCTGGTTGAGCATAACTAAATACCTCTGACCAGTGATTGAAGACTTTGGAAGTTGATGCTCAGAATCGTTCATAGTGGTGGATATTCCATCATTTGTTATCCTGTTATAAGTGTTGAGTAACTTGGCCTGCTTCGTATTCGTCCTAGGTTCCGTTTAGACAATGGCTGAATAACTAGGTGAAGGTCATGACATATCACAGATTGGTTAAAAATGATGTGTCCCACTGATTTCCGTCCCGGTGGTAAAGAGATTTTTTCTTTATAAGGAGTAAAAATAATATACTTCATTTCGTGTGAGTGTCTTTGATGCTGTAGTGTTCGGAACTTTGATAGAACATATAACCACTAATCTTGGATTATCAATCGTTCTCTAACTGATTTCAGTTCGTAACAAAGAACTATTTATAAACTGTTCAAATGTCAACATAAACAATAACTAGTTACATAATGTTTGTTTGTGTTTTTTTGTGTGTGGTTGGGTGATATATCTTACCGTTTAGACGATTCAAATATGTTGTACAAGAAGAATTAAAGGTGGAAACAGATTTACATTCTTCACTGGAAAATGTAAATGAATTTCGAAAGAATGGTCAAACAAATAATCACGTAAATAATATAAATAATGCAAACAATGTAAGTGTATCTTCTGTAAAACTGCTTTCTTTCTTTATATTTATTTAAACATGTATGTGAAAGATATATGTTTTTGTATAAATCATTCTATAAGGCTCGGTTCCATAGATTCCAACAACACTGGAACCAAACTCCTAATATGTCGTAACGTAAATTTAATTAACATAGCCTCAGTTGTGTTATAAAGCAAAACGCGTTCATGTTCTTGATGTAATACAGTATTTTTATGCTTATCAATGCTGATACGGATGTAAAATGTTATAAGAGTGAATCGGAAGCGTGCGAACGCAACATGATGTCCATAAATGAATATGAAAATAATGCTAATGTTTTAAAACTTATGTATACCTTGAGATGTTATCGTTGAATATATTTCTAAAGTACTAGAACTGGATGCTTGTTTAGTTGTGCAGCTCTGCAGACTAACTAAATATGGAACTAAAAACTAATTAATACCAACTCAGTTGTGTAAAGGTAATGCATTTGTCACAAGACCTCAATGTCTTTGGCTATCTCTGGTGAGATTTTTGGTGTACACCAAAGACTAGTTCTTTACTTGGAAAAAACAGTGCTTCAGTACACCCTGGTTTCCAATAACTAATTAGTTTCGAATTGCTGAAGTACTCATCAGATTCATATTTTGCTTTACGTTTAAAAATGACCAGATTTTGAAATATTGGTTTCTTGAATGGATAGCTTCCCTTTACGAAATATTTTGTCTTAAATAGATATCGAGTCAGAGTATTCGACTATATCACTTTTTAGCCGTAAAACTGGAAGTTTGGTGAATAAATGACGTTCATATCACTGACTAATCTCTGATGGTCATCTGTGAAATGTTTTATTTTTGCAAACATTGACTATAATCTAGAGAAGGCGATTTACATTAGGAATCTTTTATCATTCAAAACTGATAGAATGTTAATAAATGCATACAGTCGATGACAAAACAAAGAATCTTTTATAATATACCAGGTTTGTGGAAGCTGTTCACATTAATGTTTCAATATATCAAGAACTGAAATCTATTGAAGAACCATTCCAAATTCTAGGACACTGAATATCTACTACCTTCAAGAGTGTTAGACTCTTTACTCAAGACTGATAATGAGTCTCTTAATAATTGTGATATAGTGGACAAGCAATAAGTACAATAAATGTTTTCTTATTTTGATTAACTGATAAATAACTCATAGATACATCTGTCTTATCATAGTGAAAATCATTTTAATAGACTTTTTCTAATACCTACTTTGTGTCATATAATTTATACAAAAATGCGTTATTTACCAGGAAAGAACAAGTGTCGTTACTGTATACTTGTTCAGCCTTTTAATTTGCATTTGTTTGATATATTTTTAGTTTTGTGGAATAATCGTTATCAGTAACTATCGCAACAAATCTGAAATTCAGTTGCTTATCAAAGGTACTACACTTCTCTGTCATGATAGTTTCTCATCTCTTGCATCACTCTGTGTATCTAGTTTATTATAATAAACTAAGCCATTATATACAATTTCATAGTAGTTACTGTTCATAAAAACCAATTTTATTTCATGCAGTAACTCTTTGTGCTGATAAAGTCAAATTGCGGATATGAGTGTAATCTAAAACTTGAATTTGTCCCATTTATTAACTTGTTAGTTGAACGTATCTATATTTTAGTGTTGATGCTCATGTCGGGATTGGAACCCAGTACCTATCGACATAAATACCTAGGCATTATTCACTAAGCTACTACGTCCAGTAAGATTACTACCGAACACAAACTCTTACAAATAACTTTTAATTATAATTTACATTTTTTAAAATTGTGAATGATTTCTTTTCATTCTGTCGTCAAAAATAAATAAAAAATGAAGGAATTACCAAATGAATTAATCAAACCGATTGATTATCAAGAGATCTCTGGTGATATGCCAGAAGAATTGAAAGAGACAATCTTCACCATAGTTACAGAAGGTGAAGATATTTACCACAACAATGATAAAGTAAGTTTGTTTTATTATTGTTACTATTAATACTATTATTTGTAAAGGTTTATGATTGAGACCATGAACCGATCAATGTTAGGCCACCACTGAAAACCTGGAAGCATTGGACTACCATTTCGTTCTAGTATGTTGTTGATATTAAAAGCTGAATTTTGATTAGTCTCTGAAAGAGTAAACGGACTAATTGACAAGTTGTTTAATTAATACTTATATTTAAAATTTAAGTAGATTTTGAATAATTGCTAGTAGCGGAATCACAGCAGTGGGTTTCTTCTGTTTGGAGCATATAATCTTGGTGTAGCTACATCTTAACTCTTATGTCCTCATTACTTAAAACGTCAGAGGGTTTATTTAGTGGACTAATGAGTTACGAAAACCATCAAATTATTTTATGTGTGTGCTATCGTTAGTTGTTTGTTATTCTATGAATAAAAATTTCATTACGTATACTTTGTGTTTGTGTTCATGACAGAATTCATTTTTATTGTGTTGCATGTACTTTAAAAAAGTACATGTTATATGTGGTTACATAGGACTAGCGTATAAACTTATCAAGTTATTTGTGTGCTGATTTGAATGTATCGGTAAACAGTGCGACTGGATGAGGATTATTCAAAGGGAACTAAATGAATGGCTTAAATTTGTAATAAAATAGATACGGAAATACAGAAAAATTGACCAACAAAGCTTACTGTATCTCAAAACGGACATTAATATTAAAAATATTTAAGATAAAATTTCACATTATTGTAAGTCACTAGAAATATATATGGCTGTAAGAAAAATATTGTTAAAATCGTACATTAGAATTATCTAAGGAAGTAATCAGGATTTATTTTTTACCATCACACAAAATCGGGTTGTATTTAAGTAAGTTATACAGCGATCTTTCGTGACTTTATGTAAACCTCTTCTTCAGAGTGCATAAATATTTATTTATTGGGGCGAATACTTTCATAACTCATCTCTCTGTACTGTATTGTCTACTCCTAATTCTTCGTTTCCACTGATATTGTTTAAATTGCTTTGATTTTTATATTTTCACTGTGTTGATATGCTTTTTATTAATTAAATTAACTGACAAAAGCTTGTGTTAGTCTATACAATATGCTTGACTGATTAACTGTTTCGATCAGAGCTTCACTATATCCATTGCATAATGAACCTTTATCGATTAATAGACTATAAAACTTATTTACATAATTTAAAGGTTATGGAATATTTATAAAATCGTTCTCTTCAATTTCAGCTCAGTCTATTTGATGAATTTATTAGAAATCATTATTTCGACATTTTAAGGAGTAAGAATTTAGAATTCCATAATATCAAACTTTGTTAATATAGGACAGTAACTGGCATTTTTTAAAATGGGTTTGTAGGTAGTGATGAATGACAAGCATTCGTGCACATACATATTTTCAATATTCTTGCTTATTTGAATAAACTAGTAATCATGGATTCTTTGAATTGGATTCCCTAATTAGGCATCAGTAGTTTAATTCACTACTGCCCATATGATTAAGTTCGTGCATAGATTTTCTTAGTTTAATACAAACTATTTTTCACATAGGCGTTTAAAATATTTTGAGTAGACAGGTTTTGTCATAGTATATCAGTTCTATACATAAGATAATCTTCTTTTGAAAACATTCAACTATCGAACTGTTCTTATGTACTGTTTAGTCTATTTTTATAAGTAATTTACATATAAATTCGTTACTGTATATAAATTTGACATCGCTGAACAAATACATTCATAGTAAGGACTAATAGAGTTGCATAATTTTGGTTTAGTCTTCTATTACGTGAGTACTAAATTTTCCTGCACCCCAATTCAATGACTGTTTATGGTTTATACGAGGTGTAAAAATTGTGTGATATTAACATAACTATTTGAAGCAGTGGGATTAATAGGATTTAGCAAAATAAAATTGAAATCATATGTCATATTTCATCATATGTCATCATATGGATCGCAAACTTTTACAGTTTGGCTGTCAGAAATAGGTTTAAAATACTCTTCAGTGAAACTCAATGTTCATCTCAAGTCACAATGAATAATCGGTTAATTTTAATGAAGACTTGGAAATGGGTTTTTAACTGCGAATAGTTTCACAATGACTCGTTCAGTGGCATATATTTTCCAAATCAGGTTACATGAGACAATTCATTGATCTCTTGCTATGAAATTAATGATTTGGTTACTTTAATGAGGAAGAGGAAATTTATGTAGTTAACCTAGTCGACAATCAGAATAGGTCCCAATACGGTCATATGCGAATTATATAAAATGAAGAAAAATATGAATCACGTAAGCTTACAACTGAGTTGTCCCTGAATGGAATGAATCAGTTGTTCAATAGTACACCTTAACATCTGATGCTGTTATTTAATAATGGAAAGTATTGCGGGGTGTACAGTATAACACTAACTGAGACTGATGACGTTTTATAAACTCTCACAGATTCCACTGGTCACATTTCATTAAATTTATCACTGAACATATTTAGTCAGTACATAATCTGTTAGGATGTAAATAATTTTTCTGGTTAGCGTTTTTTTAGCGAGTTAGTTTTCTACGGGATAGTGTCGCTAACCCATGCCCAACCCTTCTCCTTTACCCGGGCTTGGGACCGGCAGTAGCCCCCGGTGGGACCCCAGGCGGAGTTAGGGTGTAAATGGCATAGAATAAAATTCTTCAATGTATTATCGTAAACGTACGGACTGCCTATATGTCCCTGCCTATTATTGCCTAAAAAACCCTTATACATAGGCTCAAACACCAACCAAATTGTTGTGAGAGATGTCAAAAAAATACAGTGTTTGATGTAATTTTAGTCGTTAGCAAGTGAATGAGAAGACCAACGCCGTTTAAATTCAAATACGAACCTAGCTGAATTGATGATTCCGAGTTTCAAAAGGTGACTATTAACAATGCGTTAGTAATTGGCCTGTTTCGTATTGATAGCTCTGTCAAATAACATTTTAAGAGCATAGAAAGATCCATTCTCGACTAAGAAATAAATGGATTTTTGTTCTGGTTGTTGTTTACTTAGGATATTATAGTTATTTTGATTATAAAACGATTATTTGATCGTTTTCGTTCAGTGCCAGTGAACTTAGCCATTATCCGAATGATTTAAAAGGGATCCTTTCTTAAAGAAAAAAAGATATTTCAAAATTTTGACTGAAGTCACTGATATTGGACTGTTGAACTAGTCACATATTTATATTCTAGTCACATATACTCTTGAATTGATTAGTTAAGTGAAACAAACTAAGCTTATTGTAAGTTAGTGATAAGCGGGTTTCTTTTTAGTTACATCAATTACAAAATCTGTATCTAATTAAGCAAACATCTTAGCGTGAAAAATGATTTTGACCCTTTGATTTTAATTAAAGTGAATTGTCCTTTCAAAATTACTTCTAAATTCATAACATAAAGAAGAGATTTCAATGAAATTCGTTCAATGAAAAGTTACCGAAATCATTCAAAAATGTTTGAATACAAAATAGACTACTTGTGAATAAGCACATGAAATTCTCTAAATTTTATTAAGAAGTTAATAAACACAACGAATATTTCAAGATATAGAAGTTTTGCAATTTTCTCACTATTATGTTTGGTAAAAATTATACACTTCATTGAAGTTATAATTTTTAATCTGTCGTAAATTGTTTTGATGAGGATATCGATTTCATTTCATGTAAAATGTAGTTAATAGAAGATAAAACAAGACGTAGATACAGACTGAGATGAGCTGATGATTAATGTTTGTCTCAAACTGCATTATGATTAATGTATACCAAAATAAGAACCTGCGATCTCTTTTACAGACATAACAAATGTAAACGTATATTTACTTGGTGTTGTTTACTTGTATCTTCCCACATATGTGTATATGCTACGGAATGCCTCGATATTGCCTGAAGTCACAAGCTTTATAAACAAAGAAGGATAGTGGCTAGCAGTGGAATGCAGGACGCGCGCTCCATCCTATTTGGGACTCGTTAGCTCGATGTACCCGCATCTTGGAGTTGACGTTCACTCTGGGACTCGAACCCAGTACTTCGAACGCCACCGCGTTATCCACTTATCTACTGCATCCTGATAACCACCTGCTTGTGCAATGGGGTGCTAGCCACTATCTATTTTTGCTTATAAATGTAAACTTGATTTATTCCGTTGAGAATTGATTCATTTGTACGGTTTATTCCTGTTGAATTATTGTCTCATTTTTCAACACAACAGTAATATGACTTATTTGATTCATTTTACTTGACAATACTTGTAATTTAAATATGTTTTATTACTTTTTCTTGTCACTTCTGTAGTCTAGGGAGTTAGTGATAAATAAATTGGTATTCTCAAGTATATCCAAACACTAAAAATTAGGCTATACAAATGGTTATGTAATAAAAAGTTAATAAATTGAATCAAAATAGAATTGAATTAGATCGACTTCATATAATATCTATGGTCTGTTTAACAATTAAACAATTCAAATATAGTTTCTTTTAGTAAACCTTCGAAAATCGAATTTTTTAAAACCAGGAAGTATAAGATAATTCTGTTGTTATTTGAACTCAAGATTTTTCATTAATGAGAACTCATAAATCAATCAAAGAGTCTAAGACTCTTTGGCACAGATCTGCCAGTGAGTTGAAACTCAAGAACAATAAGGAGTTCGTTCTGGCCAATGTCGTCTGTTGGTATTAGCTTTGTTTTTCTATAAGCTGACTTGGCTTAGATGAATGTCAACATTAAATTTTAACTTTCAAACAATCCACAGTAAATTCAAACAGGAATATTCAAAGTAAGACACTGTAGCAGAGTTTTATTATACAAAAACTCAGTATTGAGGTTTGTTTCGATTCCCATGCGCATACACTGGGTCGTGGATGCGCACAGGTAGGGAGTTCACTACTAAGATGAATCGGCTATTCAGTCCTTCCAGGTTTTCAATGGTGGTCTACCAAAGATTAGTTCATGATTTCAATAAATAAAGTTGGTAAATGTTCACTGAAATTCCAAGACCAAACAAATACATGTTCAAGGCTATTTTGAAAGCGGTACTATAAATATTGGCGGAATTCAAATGATAAGCTCTAATTTCGGCAGTTTATCAAATGAAACTCACTATGTAAAAAATGCGATTACAGAATAATTTTCAAGCATCAATAATATCTGTCCAGCTGTAAAATAAAAAATAAATCAATGAAAATATTTAAAACAGGATGAAGTCTTTTGAAATTCAGGCCAACTAATTTCGTAACTGTTTAACATCAGACTAAAGTAATCGGTAAGACCATAATTTATGGACAACCTTTAAGTGACGCTAAAGTGACCCTGAGAATGTATACCTACCAACTAGGACTAAATGACGGTTATAAAGCAGTGTGAGGAAATAGAATTATGATTTACAGTTGATGGTTAGGGTTAGGAGCTAGATTTAAAATTTTTATCACAAACCGAAATCAGGTAAAATGCCAAGACGCTATTAAGCCAAATGGTTGAATGAATTTCACGCCGAAATCCAAGACCTGTTATCTTATGTCTGATTGGTTCGTCTATAAATTATGGTCTCGCCAAATAGTCGTAATTACGTCAACTATGTACATAGAATTCCGGAGTCAACATGAACTCTGAGATTCAGTTGCATGTGGCTGACGAGTCTTAAGCAGGAAGAGGCGCGGGCCCTGAACTTCACTGCTGTTCCCAATCCATCTCTTCGCAAAGTGCTGGTGACCTCAGGGTGATATCGAGGCACTGATCGACTGCAGTATTAAACATGAAATGTAATATACAAATGATCAATACATATGAATTATGTGCTTAGTTATGGTAATATTCCCATTCCTGGTGCATAATCTTTAATCATTTCATGAATGTACTTCACTATTGAAATTTATAGAGCGTTAGACCAAGCATGCTTCATAAATAGATATACAAGATGTAGATTTTAGCTATAATGTCAAATCAGATCGATTAATAGATGAGCAGATCGAATTCAATAATCAATCGTTATTACGTAGCAATTAGTAATCACTAATTTACAACTGCATCATTCAAATTTTTATCTTGACAATTAATCTAAATAATTTAAGTAGTGTATTTGTAGTCTAATTAAACCTTGGATCAATTTATTGAAGCCATCCATTGATTTCGACTGTTATGTTGAATGAAACTATTTTGATATTTTTGTGGGAGAATTGTCTCCCATGGAATATATCAGATATAGTTTTGTTAGATAGTGCAAACAACATTCATCAGAAACCTCCATGCAAGCATTTCATGATGATAGATATAATTTTCGTGATTATGAATAAGAAATATATGTATAAATGATTGTTTTGAAAGTTGTTACAAGATGGTAAGCGTTCACGCTCTAGAATGAAAGCCTCGGGTTCGAATTCCATGAGCGGGATCGTAAATGTGCATTGCTGAGGAGTCCCATATTAGGACGAAACGGCTGTCCAGTGCTATCAGATTGTCAAAGGTGGTCTAACATCAATCAGTTCATGATCTCAATCAAAAAATTGATAATCTCCACAACCCTATACTGTTGATTTAATTTATTTTTCAATATTTGGTAATGATTTTTTTTCAAAATATCTCTGTCACTTAGATAGTTATTCTTTTGGAACAATTAAAAGATTGTTGATATTTTCGAAAAGGAAAACAGGAAAATCTTTACCGGATATTTATGAATTTAAAAAATAATAGACGATTAGATATTGTAATTGATGGACTCAATAATTCATTCATTCATTCATTTAAACAAATTTAAATGAATTTAGTTACATTCTCAATATAAGGTAGATGTACATTATCCCACACGCGTACACATACACACAAGTACCCATATACAAAGAGTATTTCCAGTGAATATTATCACAGCTAAATGGTTATAGAATAATAAATGTGATAATATTTAGTGATATCATTCATTAAAAAAGAAAGTTTTTCTAAGCATACTTTTGATTGATTGAACCATAGTTAGTTAATTGATTGTTTATGTGTTGTGTACAATTTGATAGATTTATAAATATACCCAATCAGTTGATGTATGAGATGACGAAAAATTGTTAAAACTTTAAACACAAGCATTATATCATAAGGTTTTTGAGACCAATCAATAGAAAGGTAGCTGGCTTTTGGTTATTTTAAGATATATACTACCTTAAACAAATAAAAGCCCTTCTCATCACTTTGTGTCAGTCCAAGAAATCCTTCATTGAGCTGAAGTAGGTTACATTTGAGCTCCAGAATTCAGTTGGCTCAAAGAAAGGACTGTAATTATATCACACTTCCTAATTCTTAGTGATACATCAGTAAAAGGCTTTACATTTAAATGAAACTCTTACCTACTAAGCAAACATACAATATTATGATTTGATAACATCAATATCAATCAATTTATTTGAATACATTTAGGGGAGCTACAGCAACAGAACAGTCATACACAACGTTTTAACTTTAAAGGTTCAAAACGAAATATGTAAAAAATGTTTTTCAATGGCAGTCGAGCTTTAAAGGTCTTGGAACAGTTCTACTTTTGCTCATTAGCGCTTGTAAAAAAAACTCTGTAACGTCCCTATGCTTGTCAAATAACTTATCAATTATATATATATAATCATAAATCAACAATCGATCGATGTATGGATAGGTGATATTGTGAATATCAAGACAATAAATCTAGTTAAAAACTTATCGACTTAGATTATATTCTTGTCTGTACCATAAATGTTTCATAAATCTCACTTAATTTTACAATTTGAATTACTGTGATCCACAATGAAATTGTTTTGGTAGATCCCTAATTTTATTTTGAATTTTTCTTCAGGAACTAGTTAAATGGATCAAATTACGTTTGGACAAGCATTATAAACGTTTATGGCATTGTGTAATTGTACGAGGTCAATATTCATCATTCTATTCTTATCAACCAGGTTATTCATTTTGTTTCCGTCATGGACCACGTGTATTTCTATTGTTTAAAACACCAAATACTTAAAAGAAATTATTATCTGTATGTTTGCTTGTGTATTTCTAATCGTTTCTACATATCATCATTGAAATTATTTAACTGCCCATACATTCTTAGCAACGACAGCAAACTGAACAAGATATAGAATAAAACTTACCGGATCTACCAATTACGATTTATTTTGATGCAGTTGTAACCAAAAACGAAAAAAAACTTTTCTCCTAACCGAGCTGTAATTCTTTAATCTTTTTGTTTAACAGTGAGTTTTTTTCTAGTTATTACTTCGATTGTTTCGCTTTACATGTTATACTATGCTTAGCACAATTTCCATGGGATATCTTAGAATTGATGGATTGTCGTGTGCATTTCTAATAGTTTAACTAACTTCATCCAGTAATGAGGCGTGAATATAAAATGGAATGAATTATTTTATTGTATACATTTGTATTTGATCATAGGTCTAAAAATACATCTGTAAACATTATCCTAAGTAGTCATATGACCTTAAAATCTAACGTTCCTGAACGAGGTTTGTTCAAATTTTCTTTAACATTGATAGACAAGATAGTGAATATTTCTTCAATTTGAAGATATTGTACATTAAGGCCGTTAATCTATGAGCGTGGGCGCAAATTCGACATAATATTCATAGTTGTTCCCTGGAGATACGTTTATATCAGGCTGAAAAAATGATATCAATCATGTTTCCGGCAAGAACATAAACACTTTTAAAACTAGAATCTTGTCTATGATTAAACTGAGTGGGACGTTTATTATGCTTTTAAATCTGTTTGTTGAAAAATATTAAATAACATAGGTTTATGGTCTGGAAATGCGGTTGTCATCTAGTTTTAGCTTCTAATCCTCATCACTATCTGCCGATCTAGAAAAATATGTCATTTATTAACTACGCTAAAATTGAGTTGTTGTGTAGTTAATTTACATTACCTCAATTGCTGTTACGCTAAACTAATGTAATCTTGCCCAAGTACAGTGTCGGTAACAAGCCTGAAATTCTAATTGAAAGTTATCTCATGTATATATCTCAGTGGTTAGTTAAATATGTAAAACCAATTTTAGCATACGGTATGGTTGTAAATAAGATTACGAATGAGAAATCCCACACACGTAAAATTTATTTTCCCGTAATTACAGAGATTTTCTGTTATTAAGTAGTCTCTCCATGAATACTTTAAATATTGCACTGGTAATCATGGATATAGTAGTCATTTCGTACATAACCACTGCTTGCAAAAAAAATAACTTCATTTAGTCTTTGACGTGACTTTCGGATCAAGAATGCTTTTTGGGTTGACCAGGATTAGGAAGAGGATAATGGGTTGTTGTATCTCTGGTATGCCGAAATTGAAACCAATGGTTTCTTATCGCACATGTAGAATCAATAAGTAGGGTATTGTGCTTATATTGGTATTTTCTAAAATTACTCTATTAGAACACATGAAACTTCATACTAAGGTTCTACGTTTTGTATTATAAGTTACATACCCAGCAAAGTTATACATATAATAGTGATTGTTTTTCAGTCTCCTAGTTACGAAATATTCCAAGTAACTAATTCAGCCAAATACTTGAGTAAGTCATTTGACTGACTTACAATGAAAAATGAATCGTGCTACGAATATTCAATAAAAAATGCAAAGATAATTTACAGATTAAACAACACTATTTTTAGATCATAGCTGGCAATGAAATTCACGGCGTAAGTTCCATTGTATTTCTAACTTATCAGATAGGTTTACCTGGATCTCAATGTTAATGTTCATAATGAAATCTCAATCCTGTGTCTACCACTATACAATAAAAGAAAAATAAAACCCATTCTAATAATTAATATCACACTGACTAGACATGTAAGTGGCTTTTTGTTTAAAGTAACAGTGAGTAAATTCTACAAATATCAACACTTAGATTTCAGTACATTCATACGATGAGACCACAAAAGACCAAATGTTCGTTACTAACCTCACCGAAATGTAAAATATAAAACATTTAACTACATTTAGTACTTAAGAATCTTCTGCTTCTTCAAATATCCTAAGAGAGATCGATCAAAATTTTAATAATGAATATTAACAAGGAAAAAAAACTCAACCACTTATGAATAATAAATAAAATTGTTTTATATTCATAGTTCCCTTTTTATTAGATTAGAAAGATCAATAAGGATGATTTGTGTTGAATAATATAGATTCATGAGTACCATACGGTTTTCATACAAAAATTTAACAAAAACATCAAAGGCTATTTTAACATCTCCACAGTAGGAAATTAGATAAGTCGGCGGCTTAAGCAGGTCGCTAGGCCTAATAACTAGGAGAAAAACAAACCATATCAAGTACATAATTATGCAATGTATCAGAGAAAACATTAAATATTAGCAGTACTAAACAAACTAGTTTGTGAATTATTTATATATCTATATTTCCTACTAGAAATAGGAATAGTTCTTTGAAGAAATACTTATATGTCGATTGATAGTTTTTTATACATAGCGCATAGAAAAAGGGAAACAGTAATTTTACCGTTTTAATAACGAAAAGAGGAATATATTTGGTGTATACCAGAAATCCGTTTGAAGAACGTATTATTATTATTATTATTTTTTTGACGGACTTACAATAAACAATAACGTGCCATAGTTTTATTCTCGATAAACCTCTTCAAATTGGTTAATGGTTACACTTATACAAAAATATTTTGAAAATATATGTATGTATACTCTTTGTAAAATATTACTTGAAACGGTCAGGAAGTTCTTGTACTAGGAGGTGTAACATCAAATTATTTTAGTGGAACAGGTTTAGATAGTAAACAATATTGAAAAAAAGTGAATGTTTCCTTTTTTTATCATAAGATATATGCAACACCATGATTGCAAAATCCTTCCTTTTTATGTGTATATGTATGTGGTGGTGTCCAAGTTATCTAAATGCAGCCATGATTTGGTTATCTATTGAAGTATGAACACTTTTGATGTTAGCAAATCAAATATAGTCTTAAAATAATGAAAAAACCGATGAAGTAATTTCAAAGGATGGAAACTAAAATGGTATGAATTAATTCAATGTAGAGTACGATGTTGTTTGCTTTATGCTTTTAATCACTTAGTTACACAATGAAATCAAACGAAAAGTCATCTACTATCTAACAGATATGCTCATGTGTAAGCAATTCTAAACATTGTTTACAGATGATATGTAAACCTCTATCACAGTTTAGAAATTGTGTTGTTCTGTAGTTAACGTTAATCAAAGAAATCAATTGTGGCCTGTATTGAGTAGTAATTAATTTCAAGTTAAATGGTGGGAGACAATGTCTTGGATGCAATGAATCTATTTTGCATAACATTTACCACTAATAATCAAGGTGTATCTACAATTCTGAGGAAAACTGATATTTTTTTGTGCAATTTGAACCATTATACACTAGTGTTATTTCTAGAGACAATATTACTGTAAACATTACTCACGACAAGCTTTAATATGACTCAAAATAGAAAACGCATATTGCAGCAACGAGACAAATATTGAGTAAAATAAAATAGAATACAGAAATAGACAAGCACATATGACATGTATAAGCGTAGAATTAAAAGGACATAAATGTAAGAGGTATGATATTGATGGTTATAATTCGCTGTGGATAGAGTACTGTTGTTAGGATAATAAACATGACTCAAACAGTCACATTCTGTCTGAATTATTAAAGCCTATCGAAAAACTAGGATAAGTCACGCGTGTACCATATGGTAAGAGCCTGATCCTAACAAAATATTATATTTTAGGAAAGAAGTAGTTACTAGAGTGTAAGGTTATCTCATCAACACAGTCTCGTTTTATTTCCCATCATTATTGTTATCAGCACATCAATATGCAGTAAATACAAATTCAAAATTCCCCACATAATTGTCTGGATTTTCCGTTGTATTCAATCCAAATAGCAGAAGAGTAACAGCCGAGAGATTCCGGTACAGTAGTCGAAGTCATTCGTGTTTGTTCAGTGTCTACTATGGTTTATGATCCGGAATGAAGTAGGAATTGGTGAATAAAAAACACAGCCCACTTAAACATTGACAATAAATTGTTATGGTAACTATATGTTTCGTGGTTGAGAAATGTATAAGAATGAGGCTGATGCAATAGACCAGAGTTATCATTTTCAACATTTACTAATTGTGAGGTTTCTTTCTATGGTTGTGATATGTTGAATTTCTCTACCTGGGCCAACTGTCTATATGAATATTCCAGCATCCGCTTTTTCCCTAATGGTATATCTATTTCAACAAAGCTCTTCATGTTATGAAGATAATTCTTAATTTGAATGATAAAATCAATCAATGAGATAATACTTTTTAGAAATGTGTACAATAAAGCATAAAACTAAATTTATTTGTCGGTATCGGGAATGTTAACTCAAAATTAAGATAATTATTATTTATTTTAAGCATGATATATAAGCTTCATATAGGCGTACTCTAACCAGCTACTTGAAAGAAAAAACCCAAGAATAATTAGGGAACTAATTGCAGCTAACTCAAATAGAAAATATACAACCAACTTATTCATAATTCTATATCTGTTCCCTTCGAAAATAAAGCCAGATTCCCAACGAATAGTGTATATCTGTTTCCTTAGCAAGGTATAGCGAGTTCCCCGACCGAAGCTGCTACCTTGACGCGGTGGTCGGGCTTGCCTATCGTGATGACCCATCCGAGCTATATTGGCTGGAACATATGTTCCTGTAGGTTCTACCATGCCAAGCAGGTCGATTGGTGAACGGTAAGACTAAAAGCAGCAACTCAAAGTCTGAGGGCGAAGTCGTACTGCTGACTGTACAGAGGTGTGACAGCAGTAAGGTGTTTCCTTCGGACGATCAGCATGACAGCGATGCTGCCTTCCCACAAGGAGGGGTGGGGTTAGAAAAGGTCGACCCTAAAAATGTCACGCCTCACCTTACCTCACGGATTTCCGTCTCCGGCGGTAAGGCCATCTGAAGAACGGAGCTAACACGTCAAAAACCTTCTACAAAAAGGCCGTGCGCGACCGGCCTCAAGCAGTTGTCCCTTGGGCTCTGCAGTCACGCTCCCAGGTCGTTAAGACCAACACTATTCCAATTTCCTTTTCAGGTTCCTCAAGAAATACCCTTCCACGGTGTGGACAGCCGTGAAGTGACATCAGCCCTCATACCCGTAACAGCACGCGAGACCAAGTTGGTCACATTCAAATCCTTCCTACACCTCCTAATACCTCTCTTATCTCCATGACTAACCCTCCTAACGTCTCTTTATCACCTCGCACCGCTAGGGCAAACGATTCGAGTACGTGGAACGCTATTCCTGGTCTACTGAAACCACGCTCTAAACTACACGTAGGAGCTTTTAACGTACGAACACCGTGCCAAATAGGACAGCAGGCTTCCTTAGCTAGGACTTTAGTATTTCGCGCCATCGATGTGTGCTGCGTCTCCGAAACGCGCATACAAGATCCGAGTAGCGTCATTCATTTGACCTCACCATGCCAAAATAAAGAACCGACTCGATTTACGCTTCGTGTATCTGGAAGCCCTGATTCTGATTCCCGTGGCCTCGCCGGCGTAGGTATAGCA